TAAGATGATATCGTGAGAAGTACGAAGTTTAATGTAAATCGATAAACCCGCGCTTCCTTATTGAGGTATCGAAAACTTCATCAAATTTGTATCCGTCCACTTTAACAGCCATCGATAAATAATCGCGTGATAATCGTTACACGCCCTGAACACCATTCCGCATTTATCTTCATTTCTAGACAGCTGTACTTTACGTGAGCGGCATGAATTGAGCGCGAAAGCAAACACGTATTTCGAAAGCTACTTTAGATGAAAATAATTTTGGGCTTATCTTTTTATTTCCTTTACAAAGAGAGCAAGCGGCGCCGTTCTTTTTCTCGTCTTTTTCCGTACGGCAAGAATTTGCCTGAACGACCTACGCAGGTAATTCCGCGTCTTATTACCGTCGCCAATTATCGAATGGACGATTGGATCAGGTGCGGTGGCAAACGATCTTCGACTACTCTCAATCAAGCCATGGATGAGAAGGACGACGACGATCGACGGCAATTTCGATGATGATACGGAATTATCCAGCGCGAAGAGAAACGCGAGCAAGCGAGAGAGAGAGACAAAGAGAACGAGAGAGAAAGAGAGAGAAAGAGAGAGCACAATATCCTGAAGAGATACTCGCCGCTAAGTCTCGGACTAGAGTAGACTTCTCTTCTGCGTTCGTTGCGCTTTAGAAAATAGTCGTTCTACAATGTTTTTCACATATCGTATATTTATAATATATGTATACACATATGCTTACGTACACCGATAGAGAACGACCATTACAGATCCGCGGGCGAACTTCGTTATGGCGCCCTGTGTGATTTTCCATGCAAATTGAGTTGTTCGCCTGTCATTATGCTAATAAAAATAATGACGCGTCGCATAGGGGTAATGCAGCTGTCGTAAATGAACCACCGCATAGCGCGATCGGAGGTCCGTCGCGAAAGGTGCGCCGCGAATCGCGACATTTTTTCGCGTCCGTCCCGGAGTCGTTCGATTTCATCCGCGACAGGTGGCTGACGAGACGCGAGGTGAAAGTCGCCCCGATTGCGCGGATTCCCTCTTCTTGCGTGCGTGTGTGTATGCGCGCGCGTGTCCCTTCATTACGAGGACAATGCGCACCGGCAGAAAAAAGAAAATGTTAAATTCATGATCACGAGCGAGAGGGAAAGCGTCGGATTTGTCTCACGATTAGTTTTCATCACCTTGCGAACAACGACGTCCCGGGCGCGAAATTGAATTAACCGCGCGAGAAGAAACCTGACTTCGAATTATCGCGCGAGATAAGATTTGTAAATTTTCTCATCATTTTATAGAATTATATTCCAAAAGCAAGGGAGTTGCTAACTATCCTTTCTTTCAGATTACATGAATAGATACTAATACGTTTGTGTCCGGATGTTAGTTCGCATTAAGATTTCAACAAGTTTCAAGATTTCCGAGCGAATCCACATCGCGCGCGTCGAAAATCGTCTTTCGACTCGCGAACGCGCGAATAAAAAAAAAAAAAAAAAAAAAAAAAAAAAAAAAAAAAAAAATCTTTTCCAAGCCGACAGGCATCTCGCGTAACTATCTCTGCGCATTGTGTACATATTATATCGTTACATTCGTTATCGTCGCACACGCGAAGCGCGATGCATCTTCGTCCGAGCTAAACTGCGTGCTAGTCGCAGTTGTATACAACAGCGCTGATAACGACGAGAACGTGCAATTTTGTTGATAATAATGCGGAGATTGCATTTATGTAAGATTCGCGCGCTAAATTGCGCCGTCGAAAATAATGACGCGGCCGATGTGTAATTAACGAGCGTCATTTAACCCAGGTTTCCCCGCGCGTTATTAATAACGGATATATAATATACGGTACAATACGCGGCGCGAGAGACGAGCGTCCTTTTTTTACTTATTTATTTACTTATTTTTTTTTTTTTTTTTTTTTTTATACGCCAAACGCGAAAATGCAAGCGGCCGCGCGTCGATGACTCGTTTCTCACAAAGAGCGAGAGTCGTCACTACTACTGGGGAGTCTGCGGTGCATCGTGGGACTGATTGCGGAAACGGTTGCTGCTGCCGCCGCGTCGCGCCGCGCGTTACGTGCGTGCATAATGCATATCGCGTGACTCCGTCACGGATCCGGACAGTTACAACGTGTACACGCGTAACAATATCGCGTATCACAGCGAATCTCTCTCCGCTTACCGACGTCTGGCATTTTAATCGAAGCCGCGAGAGGAAGAGAGAACGAGAGAGATAGAGAGAGAGAGAAAGAGGGGAGAGAGAAAGAGAGAAATGTGGATCGCGCCGGGAATGTGCATCTTTCTTCGTTGCGTACGAACGCGCTAGCGTAACGAGCGGCATGCGTACTAATAATAAAATGTACGAGCTGCGCGTTCCGCCGAGACAGACACCCCAACGCATCTTTTTCGCACATCGAGTGCGTTACTTCTCTTAGCTTACTCTGTTAACTAACATCACGATCAACCAGTCACATTGTAGCGTAATTACATTATCTTTATGTTTAATCTATGCTAATGACATTGTTTACGGTTGTGTATCTCGCGATCGCGGTCGTAAAGTGATACAGAATGTAGCTTTTATAAAAAAATAAACAAAACTTTTTATACGCCAAACAAAACAAGGTACCAAAAAAGTATGTCAGATTGTAAAATAATTGCGCGTCCGCGATCGCACAATATGAGTTTTTATAGCTTCTCGCGGGAAACTCGCTCGGGATCGGTCTGATTTTATTTTTTTATTTTTTTACGTTTTAACACGTGTTAAGAGATAAATAGGGACGTTCTATTTCGACAGGCGGCGTATCGAATTCAGGCTTTCCCTATTGCTATGCGCGAGACTCTCGGAAATATTCGGAACAAGGTTGCCGTAATGACGATTTTATCGCAATTAAAATTATGCTCGCTGACTACGTTGTAGCACAATTACATTATCTGCTCGGTAAATCTGTACTAATAACTGCAGTAATAACACAACACTCGTTTTTCTCTCTTAACATCCACTCCGTCTTGTGTTTCGCGGCTTATCTAACCATGTCAGTTTATTACGCGTTTGATGAGAATGTTAAGACCGAGGATCGGCAGTTCCGGTGTACTTGTAAATACTTTGTACATATTTATAAATTTGTTTACAATTAGTTTTCCATTTTCCGCGGCCAACTTCGTAATTAGCGAACGAGAGAAACAGATTATTATTATTATTTTTTTTTAATTGCTCCTAAACTGGAAGTTCCTAAAAGTTCGTTTCTTGACGTTTTACGACGCGATCGTTATTGAACGTTTGCGAAGTAGCAGTTTCGCGCTCTTCGATCGGCTCGTCGGAAAATGACTTCGGTCGTGTACACGCCCGAGACTAAATGCGGTGTTAAATAACAGATGTAACAAAACGCGATTTGTAAACGTCACGCCGGAAAAACAAGACACCCGCTGCGCATTTACGAGTTGCAGGTTCAGCATGTCGGCCACCACACACACCAATTACACCTTCCACGGTTAGGTGGTTCCCCGTCTTAACGGGCAGTTAGTGCCAACATAAATGTCCCCGCTGCACGCTTTAATTGCTCGCTTATAGCGCCCGCTTGCAATATATATCGACGTGACGGCGAAAAAGGCCACAGTGGTCGATGTGGAAACTTGAGACGTCGAGGTATGCAGCAAGCGATACCTGCCTCAAACGATCATGGAAATCATTGGTCAGGTTTCACCAAGAATGTCGCAATAAATTCCGAGACGGGTTTTCTCCGACGAAAAAAAATTCCTCAAACGCTTCTACTTCGCGTTATAATATTAAATCCGGTCATTCACTAGGTGCCTGAAACGTAACCTACGTTACAAAACCTGCGCGACGATGTCTTTATACGCCGTAAATCTCTTCCCGCGTATCTCCCTTTATAAATTATTCCAATAACAAATAACACCGTAAATTTCGCCCGCCTTTATTATAACTCACTTGTCCGGCGTTCGCATTTCGAAGTAAGCATCGCGTGGGCGTGCGACACTCGGATTGCCCGGTCTCGCAGGGCCTGTCCCGAGGCTGCGGCAGAAAAGATTGTGGGCATATACTTGTGTGATAACTTCTGGCCCGCGAGTAGGAATAGGGTACTCGAATTTCGATTATTAATTTCGTAAGGCCCGCAACGGGATGCTACGACCCCCTCGTGCGTGTCAAACCGGGGTTGGGGCCCTTCATCGTGGCTCGCCATTGGGACCCCTCTGAGACAATGGCCGCCCGCGGCGTTGAATGTCTCCGACGACGTCTGGAGACCCCCGTCGCGACGTAAGCGCCACGCTCGCAGTTTTACTACTATAGAGACGTCAGTTATCCGTTCCGTCATTTTGTTCATTCAAAGGGCCCGGGGTTCGTAATGGGACCTCTCTCGATTTATCGGCACGAATATTGCCGCTAAGCGATAATTGCTCGACGCGCAAAAAGATCTCATACTACCAACTCGTAAAAAGATAATTAAATCAAAATCCCGGTTTCTCAGTCTTTCAAATATATAATTAATTATATATCTACCGAGAAGATACTTCTAGTATCCACAAGAAGATACGCGCAGTGTCTGTGATCCACACGAAGAAAGAAAGGATGAAATCTACTCGCGTATAAGACGTACCTGGAAGATACACCAGGTGGAAGATACCCAATAATTTGTGACGTTGGTATATACTCTGTGTATATCTCGCATCTGTGTTGTGCGAACATTGTTATTACTTCAATCAATTAGATGCTATTCTCAACTGTTTCTCTCGCACGTTACTGCCGGCAGAAAATGGAATAATAATCGTCGGTTGTAAGAGACGGACCTTAGACCCATGATAAGTTCGTAAATGCAACGTGTACTTGTGCGAAAATTAACGGATAAGTACCGTCATTCAATTGAGTTTCGTATGATTTATGTGAATATATATTCGAGGGATTCGAGTTGATTCAAATGTATACGGATATGCGCTGTGTATTATATCTGAAAATTAGTATCAAAATAATATCAAAAACAAGAGATCACTTACACCCTGCATGTGATTTCCAACGATGATGTCCGTGAAGATCGAACGATGATCCCGACGTGCATGTAAAAAAAACAAACGCATACGCATTAAATATCCGAGCGCTTGAAGAAGTTTCGCGTTCTATGATACAAGTTACGAATTAATGCCGCGACATTTATGTTTCGGCTTTCGTTTCGCCGCGGCATACTTTCAACGATTAGCAATGTAAACTACATGCATGTTTATACGTGCAAAACTTCTCGCCGGGCCCGGCAACGGTTTGCGAATCCGCGTGATTACGAGAGGGAACCTGGCGCTCCGCAATTAATTGCCGACCGTGGTATCGGCTCGGTTTTCTCGTGCCGAACCCATTACTTTGTAGCATTTGGCGGTAACTTAATGACCTATACTCACGGAAGTCGGATCCTGAAACAGAAAAAGCGTGAAGGTACAGGTTAGACGTGCTGCTCAAAATTCACTGTGCGCTACGAAACGTTTAATTTTCAATTTTGAGCGATCGAGCGTAGCAGCGACGGCGGCGGCGGCGGCGGCGGCGGCGGCGACGGCACTGCTGCTCCCGGTAGCAAGTTTCTGCTTTAATGCTCCTTTTTAAATTGCGCTCGCTTAGAAATTCCGCTCGCACCGCTCTCGTCGCTCGTATTATACGCGAGTATAACTACGTGCTTACATAGTAGGAGGGCGAGGGGAGACGACAGTGGGACATTATGCAGGCATAATAATCGGATTGTAATCGGCCTGTGTGCGACGAAATAGCGTTCCTGCCCCCGTGCTACGTGCATAATGTCGCGACGCAGTATCTAAGTATAAAGACGTTCGACAATTTGTTATGCATGCCTCGGTGGACGAAAATTGCATTTAATTCGCCGTTGCTCTCCGTTACGGCGGACTAGCGTCCGAGAACGCTGCGTCGGCTACATAAATGTAGATGTTCCATTTAAAAAGCCATTTTCGCGTGTTTAGCATAATACGTAATCGCGTCGGATTCTGCGCCCGTCGTTCATAAAAAAAAAAAAGAGCACCGCGTCGTTAACAGTAAGAAAAGAAGAAACAAGAAAAATATCGCAGGCAAAACTATCGCGCTCTGATCGACATTCCGCGAACAGTTTGCTCCTCGCGCGAACAAGATTTTATTAAAATATAAAAACGTGAAGAAGAATTTCAATCGTTAATTTTTGTTTTATAGGGTTAGATCGATATAAATCGGTATGAAAACACACAGAAAGTGTGTTAACCGTTTCTGTTTCTGTAAACAATATGTATCGATTTTATTTCATGTTTGTGACCTTTACTTGACAACACCTTTCCCAATTTATTTAACAACATACTTTCGTGTTTGTGTTCAATTTTTAACTCTTGTCTATTTAACATGCATTTGACCTGCATTGATCCTATTTTTTTCTGTTCGCGGAAAATTCCCTCTATGGTTCCTTCTTTTTCGCNAAAAANANTTTTNTNAAAAAAAAAAAAAAAANAAAAAAAAAAAAAAAAANAAACAGCGCGCAGCGACGTGGACACCGTTAGCGCATTTCAATCAATCTGCGAATAAATGGCAATTCGACGCACGAAACTCGCATGGTTCACATGCGTGCGTGTGTGTGTATGTGTGTATACGCGTCGCCGTTTTCTCGTTCCGGTCTCTTTACTCTTCGATAGACAGTTTTACCACCTTTCGACAACATCGGTTGTCAGATGGATCGACGGGACAAATTCGTTAGTTGAAATCGCCAATATATCCGTGCGCCGCGAATCGGTGAAATCTCGACAATAAAAAGTTGATGACGGTAAAAAAAAATTTGACTCAATTAGAACCCGACGCCAAGTCGGTAATACTCTAATCCTTTTGAAACGACACGTCTGCACTCGTGTCGAATTACACGTAAACACGTGAGAAGAAACGCGTCGGCGTTTCCATCAACATCAACCCCGCCGCGAGAAAACTCTTTCTCCCGCGAGAGCATCGTTCTCGCAGCTAAAAGGCGGAAGACAAGAGCCGCGTGTTTCGAATCTCGATTCGACATCTCGGAGCGGCGTACAAGATAGATGGTAATACGATTATCCACGGGGATACGCCGGGAACGCGAAGGAGAAGTTATATACGCGATTGCTACCAGCGGCCGTTATGAACACAGAGTATCGCGCCGATAAACGTTTGTGCGAGTTTGTGCAGAAAAAGAAGATCAGAAAAAAGCAAATCGAGCGAGTCGGGAAAAGAGAGGAGAAAGAGGAAGAAAGAACGAGACGATGGGAGAAAAGAAGGGAGAGATCGAGAGGATGAGAACGCGCCTGTGGAAGAGAGGCCTTCGCCGCAAGATCGCTCTCTCCGGCTCCCACCGGAATTTTTAACTTTTAATAATAAAGCGAGGGAGTCTCGCGCGCGCGTTGTTACGTTATGATAGCGCCGCGCTCAGCGGGACGGACACGGGGGGGGGGGGGGAACGCGGGAGAGAAGATCGAGGCAGAATTAAAGGCGGTAGAAGGAAGTTCTCGCGCCGTTCTCGGTCCCTGGCCGCCTGCGGCCGAGGCCGGGGCAAACCGCAGCACAGGCACCGCCGCCACCGCGTAATTGCCGAGCTCTCACTTACCGGTCGTTCGATTGATTATTATTTTTACGCGCTGCGACCCCGCCTGACCTCGCCGCGCAGCGAGAGCCAAGCCGAGAGATCGTCGCTTTGCGCGCCCCCCTTCGATCCCCATCATCGGAGACGTCGTTCCGCGGCGTGTCTGTGTCGCGCGGTGGACAAATCTCGTCTCCGCAATACGTGATTCCGATGACAGAATAATAAAAATTGATCCTTTCAATAGCGGATTTGATCGAAAACTCGGAAATTTGTCCGATAAGTTGTTTCTGTGTGCCTGCAGCTTTAGTAATTTTTTGAAGAATATGTTTCAAGAGAATCTTTTGAATAGCAGGTTAGAGTGTGTTCGAAATCATTAATTTATCAATTTAGATGTTACTCTCTTAAATTTTTGTTTTAATTTTTTTTGAGGTCACGCGCATTTGTTGCGGACTTCGCACAATACAACGCATTTCGATCTATCGAAACCTATAGCCGATCGGTCGGTGGCGAGCTATTATCTTTATATACCTCGACCCATCTGACCTTAAATGTACCGATCGCTGCTGCTCCTTGAATCATGTTATTAAACCGCTTGATCTTATGGACAAAGGTTGCCAGGTGTGGGGAATGGCGAAATCACGCTGCTCCGGGAGAGAGTTTTTCCCTCTTTTTCTTCTTTTTTTTTTTTCATAATCAAAATGTGAATACACCGGAAGTCGTGATCGTATAATTAAATAACAAAGTAGGAATTCCTCTGGGAGATTGGGGAGAGGCAGCGGATCGCGCGGGCTTTTTACGCGCAACAGAGTGCAGCGGTTACGCGGTTTAGCCCGACGCGGCGCAAACAAATTAAAACATCCGCCTGACGTTGGCGCATTTTAAGCGACGGCGCTCGCTCGGCGACGGAGCTCGTGAATACGAGCCAGGAGGAAAGCTAGGTGGAGAGCGATTGCAGAGGAGAGAACGGAGAGCGTCGCGATGCCTTCCGTCGCGCTTTTTCTTTCCAGAAGTCCTGGAATAATTGGATTCGCAAAAGGGTGGCGAGCGGTAGAGAAGAGAAGAGAAGGAGAAAAGATATCCGGCGAGAAAACTCGAGTAGAAACGGAAAAAGGACACAACGAGCCGTATAAATAAAAAGCTCGACGTCACCCAACTCGGGCAAGCACGAAGTGTTACAAGACCAAAGAAATCCGCCCGCGCCCTGTACCGAATAATAATTACATTCTGCCGCTGTTCACGTACAAACTACAAGAATTTCTCCGGACAGACTTGCCGACAAGTCTTGTTGAAGAAAAAAAAAACACTATCTTCACTTTGTTTCGAAAGGTCTGTTTAGATTGTCCGCGAACTTCTTCCGAAGTTGCGACAGGTGCTTCCCCGAGCAATTAAAAGCTCTGTTTCTTGATAAATGAGGGAGCATGTATCGTGTAATAGTGAAAAAAAAAAAAAAAACTAATATGTAAATTGAGTATAAATAATATTGCTAAGTAATAATTGCTTCGCGAATGAATAGAACGTTCGATCATATCTCGGATGCAAATCGAATGTCCGACCGCTGCGGCGTCGACCCTGAACTTTGGGCGCGCGCGCGGACGGTTTACTCATTTAAACTAAATTATTCCAAATAAATGAGCGTGTCCTCGGCAGTACCTACATACCCCCGGACATTCATTCACCCTTAATTAATGATCCGCTCGAAAGTCGGCAGGATTAATCGCGTGCAATCAGATCACCGTAATTAATTACGTCGTGTTGGAAGCACTTTGTTTGCGTCGGTGAGGGCTATCTTGATGAAACGAAATTGCGCGACGACGTTGTGTCTGAAAATGTGCAAGTCAACGCGCGATACAAATGACTTACTCTCTTCGTCAAACTCGTTTTTCCCCGCCTAGTTTAACGACAAGTACAAATTTCACAAAACCACCGCACAAAATATCAAATTTCTTTTCAAAACAACATGTCTTCGCAAAACGTGCAAAATATATCTATCTTTCGTATTTTATAAAATCGTTATTTACAAATCTTCTCTATACTATCTTATCTTTTTAATTTTAAGCGTGAAAAACATAAAAAATTTTTTTCAACGCTGCTGACTATTAAGATTTATTCATCGATTATTCTGTTACTTTCGAATACGGTGACCCGAGCGACGTTCTTTATATTTCCACTCCGGCGTTCTCTTCTATCAATTTTCCAAGCGCGCGGAACAGCCTACGGCGTGTATAAAAGGCCATATTTTATATAATACGACGGGATTGCGGTAATAATATCAGATCGTATCCGCATAGACGAGAGACTCGTAGAGATGGTTTACGACGTGCGAGCGAGCGAGCGAAGCGCGTACCTCGCGAGAGCGGAGGTGGAAGATCTTTACGACCGCCTCGAACGGGCGACGAAAGTCGTCATCGTACATCTGCCCTATCCTTCGGGCAAGACATCGCCATGGGTACTTCTTTGGCTAAACCGTTTCGGCATAGCGAGAAGAAATTCCTTTCTCAGATATGAAATGGAGTACGAACCGCAATGTACCGACGGCCATTGCGCAAGCAAGTAAATGTGTAATATCTCGGTGAGGAATGTGTCGACGGCGATACATCTCGGCATAAGACCATCGTCGTGAGCGTCAACTCTCTCCCTCGCTCCGTACGATTATTACGATCACACGCAGAGGCGTAACCCATATGACACAGAAGATGGAAGAGAATGAAGAAATGAAAATCATTTCACGAACGTAAAATCAGAACCCAAAAATGTTACACTTCTATAAAAACTATTGAGTTGAAGAGTAAGAAAAAAAAAAACTTTCTGGCTGTAAGTAAAATTAAAAAATTAAAAATTTTATCGAAC